CCAGAACCGGACGTTCCTCTCCCCAGGAGCCGACGAGACCCAGCTAGGCACCCAGATTGACTTCATCATAGGCAGAGGTCATACGGTTGATAACCTGTCCAAACAAGCTGCTGCCTTCAACGCGCCGTTTGTCCCAGACAGTGGCTGCCGACACCGACCGCTCTCAGCCAAACTACCCATGCCCCGAAGGCCGTACCATGCTCCGGATTCGAGCAGGGTCACATTACACATGGTACGGAAATCCCTTCAGGACCCAGACTTCGTCAAGCACCTCCAGGAACGCACCGCTCCCGCCCTTCAGGCGGCGACCGCCACCTCATCGATAGACACCATCCTTGAGTCAGGCTGGATCAACACCAAGCTCCACCATGGCGCCTCTCGTCAAAACCTTGGCTCGGGACAAGCCGAAGACTACGAAGGCCCGCTCACCCTTCAGGTTCAGACAATGTGGCAAATTAAGAGTCAGTTGCGAAGCCTGGGCCAGGAGCTCTATCAATGGTCCTGTCATGCGCCACGGCCATCACAAGTGCTCCGGACCTGGTTCTTAGCAGCCAGATTGCAAGCACACACGCGAGCCCTACGGCAGGCATGCAGGCAGCGCAAGACGAACAAAGTCGCCGAGGCGGTCCAATCTACAGATATTTACAAGGCTGCCAAGCGTTTCGCTCCCAAGGTGCCGAGACGTAGACTCCAACTACGCAAACCTGACGGAGGTCTTCAGACTCATGAGGAGGAATTCTATCAGATTCGTACCCACTTCACCAGTCTCTATGCAGGCCCGCCCTGTCATCAACCGCCTCAGCTTCAGCAGGACCTGAACATCTCCACGGCAGAGATCTCAGCCGCCTTTGGCAGACTAAGATCAGGGAAGGCCATGCCATCATCAAGTGCACCCTCGATCTTGTGGAAACTGTTCAATCAGGACTCGATTGCCCCGATCAAGCTTCAGTTCGACTACTACCTCACCGAGGGCTGCCAGTCCCTACCTGAGCATTGGAATGTGTGCGAGCTGATCCTTCTACCGAAGCCACATAAACCACTTCGCTCACCAGCTCATCTCCGGCCCATCTGCCTGTTGAGCTTACAGGCCAAGCTGTTAGCATCGGTGGTAGCAGGTCGTCTCCAACCCTATGTCTCCAAGTACCTGGAGAACCTGCCACAGTACGCGTACGTGGCTCATCGGACATTAGCCCAGGCGCTAGAGCGAGTCATAGGGCACTGTGCTGAAGTGAGGAGACTGGTTCAGCAACAAGCCTCCACACTGCACTCCCGAAGACAAGGGAGCACGTCTCTCAGTCTCTATGGTGGTTGCCAGCTATCGCTAGACATCACAAGTGCGTATGATCACGTGCCCAGATCGGCACTACGGCTGGCACTCCAAGATGCAGGCACTCCCGACAACCTCATACAGGCCATCCTTCTCATACATGAGCAGGCCCGCATCAAAATCAAACACGCAGATCAGGAGACCTTGATCAGTCTGCACCGCGGACTTCGACAAGGCTGCGGCCTCGCGCCCATCCTGTGGGCTCTGTACAGCGGTTGGGTGCTGAAACAGATGAATGATCCCACACAACTGTCAGTCACTGATACTGCCACCGTCTACGCTGATGACCAGCATTTCGCCTGGACCATAAGGAGAGGCAGCGACTTGGAGAAGGCGTACAACGCCATGAAACACGTGCTCCGCAGCCTTTCGGCCTA